TGATCATACAATATCTTTAGAATCTCGTATATATGTGGAAAGAATCAATTGCTGATATGAAATGAATATTTCACTAATATTTTACATACATTCTTCTTTGCATATAATATATAATTATATTTTTATTTTGCGTAACGTACGCTTCATTACATGATTACAATACAAATACATTTCAAACAAGTTTTGGTGTTTAAGGGCACCCTCCCGTCAAAACGCTCGACAAATAAGTTCTTCTCATAAATCGATAAAAAAACTAAAGAATATAAGGTAAAAACGCTCTAAGTAATTTAGCAGTACATGTTTAATTAAGTAAAAGAATAACTCTATATTGAGTTAATACATTTTCCCCAAAAATATATAATTATATTCATTATATCACTATAGAAATTATATCTCTTGACGGACATCGACAGGATTCGTAACAAGATAATGTGAAATCAAAAATAAAACATTTTTTTAAAATACATATACATATATGGTTATCGCATTATCTATTTTTAAAGAGGAAAAAAAAACAATTTAGCAAATTTCAACACTCGTTTTAACGCAAAATCACAAATGTTTCCCTGGAACATATCGTGTAAACGTGCGTAAAAAAATCTCCAAAAAGTTTTTTTTTTTTCATTAAAAACAGATAATATGATAAACATTCGCATTACTTTTAAGGCAATGTTTGGCTTTTTATTTCAGATGGTCCTGTTACGAATTCTGATGGCGTCCGTCAATAGATTTATTTTCTATGACGATAAAATAAATCTTATGTATTAATATATGTTCCGGAGGAAAATATATTAAATCCAACTAAACTCATATTTTGAATCACTTAAACATGTATTACTAAAAGTCTTATGTTTTTTATCTTGTGTTGTTCAGTTTTGTGCAGTATGTGGCTGATCGAAATTTTGATTAGCGGACAATCTGAAGGTCAGGAAAGGGATGGCCGGAAAAAACAACGAGTCACGTGCTGCGAGGCACGAACGCGTGCGAGTCACTTGATTTTTTTTTATTTTTTACTTTTCTCTTTTTTTCCTATTCTCAATTCATAAACGTATGAACTAGATATCTCCTCTAGGCATTTTTCTCGCCTACCGATATCGTAAAATTCACACCGCGCGCTATCGTAGTACGCGACTTAGCGTCTTTTCAGAGACACTGTTATTTTACCCCCAGTAGGGTAACATGGCTCAAGATTGGAGTATTCGGGTGACAGCGTGGAAACGCTGAAATATCGTTTCAGCGTTTCCCATGGTGACCACCTCTACAAAGGTAAAAACTGGAAGGGGCCGCCCTATCATTTCGCGAATTAGGCGAAGAAGTGGAGAATCCAATTCGAAAAAGGTCGTCCAACCTATCGTACCAGAGCAATTATATCTCCGAGAGAATCTTTCCTACTCGCAAACCCGTACAAAATTTTCTATCCGGGAGCGCGGAGAATTTTCTTAATCGAACAAATACATAATCCGAAATAATAAAGACTTAAGGAGTAAAACTTAGTGTTCTGGACCCTCCCCAATCAAGAACTACGAACAATTCTGAATACGGCAGGTGCACTTTAGTGCTTCTCCGGTGCGATACCCCCGCGTGATTTTCGTGCTCGCTGCCCGAAGTAACTCCGAGTCGAACATTTCGCTGGTCGTGACGAACGGTACTCCTTTTAACGGGGTTGAACACTCTAGAGGTTGGAGACGGTAGGTAATGGCGGCATTCGCTCAATAATCGAGGGTATAAATCATCGGAGTCGGCGACTGGCGTGAAGGAACTCCGCAAGGAGCGGACAGAACCAGAGCCGGAGTTCTCACGAGGTGGATTCCTGGGCAGTGAGTCCACCAATACCAGGATGATCGAAATCAGCACGGATCTCATGTACTTAATCCAAAATTCGGCACAACTCGTGGTCCGATCTCAATTCAGTTCAATGTTAGTCGATTCGCGAACCTCGGGAGTCGACAATCGGAATAGGTGAGTTCTGGAAGGAGAATGCGCGATAAACCTAATGGACGTGCTCGATCATCCATTCGACATGGTTCTTTACGTGTATCGCGTGACGCGTCGGCTAATGCGAAACTGCACTCTTGCGCAGCGCGGATTTTAATGTGATGGAATGTAGTTCCGCTACAACCGCCCGCCCCGGATATATTTATTCTAAAGAGAAATTTACGAGTTTATACTCGATAAGACAGCGTACAGAGCAGTCTCAGGAGCTGGAGCTCTCTGAAGAACTGACCCTACCGTAGTAACAGTTGTGCGTTTCGGTACTCCGACATCCACGAGCCAACAGTGAGAAGAACGACGGCGCTGCGAATTCCGGACCAGCGGGAGAATCTTAGGAAGCATCAACCCTAGGGCACGCCCCGGTTTGAAGACGTTCACGTGCAGTTCATCGCAACCGACAGGACGGAGGAGAGACGTCACCGGAAGTAAAGGCCTCTGCGAAGCCAAGGTACAGGTCCTCTTCGAGGAGTTCCACTCTTCCACTCTTTTACTCTTTTATCACTCTATTTCGAACCCTATTCCAAATTACTAACCCGCAATAGAATTCGGTATCTACCTTCCGGTAACAACTTTCAAATTCTAACTCTTCAAGTATGAATCGCCACTCATTAGCCGCCCTTGCTGAGTAAGGCAAAGCGCACCTTGCAAGCAAAGAATCCCGCGTCAGCATTCCGCAATTGATACGCGGACGTATCTCGATTACACTTCCGCGAGGCGCTAGCGCGCGACCTACAACGTCCTTGTCTCGACTCGCGACGATCTGCTTAGCGCAGCACATGTTTGCACACCTTACCCCCATAGACATTGTACCCCTCATATCATAAATAGAACTGTCTCATTCAATACAACACAATGACTTGATTCTCACGAAACCTTAAAATTCTCCTGTGGCCTCATTGCAACTTTCCAACACCCTTTGAGGATCAAAAAATCTATCGATCCCACCAAAGAGGTTGACCTAGCCGCTCGGGTTATCCTCTCCATATCTTTCAAATAATAAATTGGTTGCGCGTGCATACGAGTTAATATCTCTACAAACAGTATATTGCTCCGAGGAATCTGCAAAATTCCCCCGGCCTTGCTAGCCATTCGGCCGCCACGTAACAACAGAAACTGGGCGCAACAAACCGTCATGTCCCGGATGATAGGCAGAAATATGCTCAAGTTCCCACTGACAAGGAGGAACTAAAGCGTTTGACAATAAAAGTATTGTCCAACACTTTCATGAGACGTTGAGCCACGTGCCATTGCGGTATTTGTTGTAGGGTATGTACATTATCGCTCACTCACAATTTCCTATACACATCGATGGTCGGTTGGACTACTTGCTAGCGCGATAGGCGATTTTCGAAGAGTTGTAGGATACTTGCTTTGGGAATCGAGCTTAAGGGGGTACCGATTAGAAAATGGCCGAGGGTTAGCGCTTGGTAGTTGTCACAGTTGATACGACGGACGAAAATATGGACTGGTGACCGCTATGAATTGCCACTCAATTCTGTCGATGCG